ATTATATGCAACCTTCCTCCAGTGTAAATCGAGGCCATCATACTCAGTCGTTTCATGGAAATGGGCAATGTACTCATTCATAGCTACCTCCCCTATCCCATTTAGCTGTTGTTGCAACTTATCAGCTTCAGTAGTTAGCTCATCTATGCGAGCATTCAACTCTTCCTTCTCTTTATTAGCAGCCTCTAAGGCTGACGAAGTGATCCTATGAAGATTGTCAGAATTGTCAACGCGCTTCGTCAGAGCATTCACCTCATCTTTGCAAAGATGGACTTTATTCTTCAAGTCGACATTTTCTTTGATAACGCCTCCATCTTGGACTTCACTAAAGACTACTTCACCTTAGCTTCAATGACCTCATTGCCAGAAGATGCCTCCCTGCCCCGCCTCTACTTTACGAGGCTCACCTCCTCCTCGATATTCTCTTCCATTTCAACAATCTTAACGGATGAGATGGGCTCTGCCTCAATTGGACGACAAAGTGACTCCTCGAAAGTTGTCTAGCATTTCGATGGAGAAGGGGGCTCGGTATTCCTTATCAAACCTAGCTTCCTCTTCTAAGGCCGCTCCGCACAATATTCAACCTTTTCTTTTTCCTTTTCACTTTTCTTCTCTGGGAGAGGAGGTGGTTTATCTTCAAAAGGCGCGCCACCTCTGCTGATTCTTGTAAGTTGAAGAAGTTGATCTCAAGGCTTTTTTATTTTTCGCCTCTCCTAAACGCCTCATAAAGAACATACCAGGCTTGACATATTATTTCTTGTTGTATTGGCCTACAAACAAAAGGCGAGCCTATTAGCAGCTATCCTAAAATCCAGCAGAATCACTAAGTAAATGGATAGATGCTACTTTTACCTTTGGTAGCCATCAACGGATGTGTTACGAAGAGGTTTCCTTTTCTGATCACGATCTTAAAATACCTCTTCTCCGAGAGCAACTCGTAAATTTCCTTGATAATCGCCCACTCAGAAGGTTCGAGCTCGAACTGGTTGACTGCAGCTGCACAAAGCGCATAATTAGAAGCAGAAAATAAAAAAGAACAAAGAAACATAAAATAAAATTATTTTAGCCAATGCCAGACTCATTGTACTCCTGGTATTGGGTTGCTACGGTTATCTCTGGGACTGCATCCCCCTCCACTATTTTCTAGCGACCCCTAACCCAGAACTATGAGGACTTCTAGTTCTTTATAGAGGTCGGAGTTACCCAGATGAAGGGAGAAAGCGAGCCCCATGTCATGCGATACCATCCCTCATAGTCACTCTCCTCACTAGAGGCTCGAGGCTAAAAAGGGTTTGGAAAATATGGTGAGGTATATCCTCGCTAAGAGTGACCTCTTTCTAGAGAAGAAAGGCCCCTGCCAATTGGCTTAATGCATTTGGCACTAGGTAAGTAGGGGATAGGTTGTAATGCCTAAAGATATACCTAACGAAGGCGTTTAGAGGCAGTTTCATCCCCCTACTCAGAATCGCCTTGCTCACCACCATGCACCCCTCCTTGGGGAAGTAGGCCATTTCCTCAATATCGGGGATCCTATATCTCTCCCTCAAAGTATCTAGCTCACTCTCTTTTATATCACTCGACCACAAAGAGGCCCCTTCCTAATGCTATAATCGATGGTGCCCTCATACATCATTCACGCACAATGAGGGCCCCCATGGCCTCCATAATCCTCTCAATGGGAATTATGGGAGACAAGCCTGCCTCGACACATATCAGTGCCATATTTATACCCTAGGGGACCCGTCTCTATATTTTCTTTGAAGAAAAGGCCATGTCACGAGATTAAAGGAGGATATGCAAAAATCTTGGGTACTTACGCAAACTTCAGGCACCTGGAAGTGGAGAAAATGAAGATGGTTACAGGAAAAGAAAGCTAAGGAGGTGTTGGTGGATATCAGAGAATTATTAACACTTGAAGGTTTTTAATTTTCACAAAGTAAAGAAGAAAGAGAAGGTGGGGTTTGGGCCTTTTATATATGCAAGAAAGTCGAACCCCTATCGTTGGACTGCGATCTAAGCGGTTCATGTATAGTTCAATCCAGCATGTTAAAACCTAATGGCGCCTGTTCAAAATTCAAATCAAGAGCTCAGATGAATTCATGACTTACACGCGCCCAAGACTCAAGTGATCTACACCAACCATAATAGACAACCATCATTGCACATTGAATGCGCACACAATGTGAGCCTTGGAAACAATCGTGCCACCCAGCTATTTTACCTAGGGAACTAGCATTTCTTTCAAATTATTAGAGCACACTTCCCAATGTGCTTCAACTTCATCAAAGTGGCTCGTCCTTTACAACAAGGGCATCATCTCGTATGGTTTAGCCTTATCACAGGCTTCACCTTCATCAAAGCGGTTTGCCCTTTACAATAAGGGCATAGCCTCATGTAATTCAGCCTTATCACAGGCTTCAACTTCTTCAAAGTGGCTCGTCCTTTACAACAAGGGCATCGCCTCATATAATTTAGCCTTATCATAGGTTTCAACTTTATCGAAACAACTCACCACTTACAATAAGGGCATCACCTCAATAGATATAGCCTTTTGCAAACTATGCCCTTGGTCTTCAAACTTGAACTGTTGTTACAACCACATCATTTTTCTCCAAACTCGAAAGTCCACGCATTATAGAATAATCATACCTGGATTTCGGGGACTGTTGTTATGCCTTTCTACATAAGGACCCCCACATGGTCTCAATCATTCTATGTGGCAACTAGTTCAGCGATCTCACGCCCTGTACACTAACACGAGGCGAAGTTGAACAGACCCTCGAGTGTGGATAACCCGTTTTCCCAACAAGGTGAAGCTGGACCGACCCCTCTATACACGAACCCAATGGGAGAGCTGATTCAGATCTTATACTATGTAATTGAAAGGACAACTCAATGTCGTCGCCAGCCTATTTGGTCAAGTCTAAGGTCGTAAGTTAGGCCTTATGGATACAAGAATGGTATTAGAATTTAAGGCTGTGATTGATTGATGTTTATAACAAGAAATGTCAGTCATGTGGACGAGGCCACGTGCGTTGTTATCCAACGACTTTCATTCGTCTTTCTCAAGTATAAAAACTCACACTTAGTGTCATTTAAGGGTAATGCAAGTTTAGACTCCTAAAGCTATAATCTATCTATCCTATCTTTTACTTGTTTCTCCCTAAAGCCTACCCCCTTTTTATATTGGAAGCTCACGTTTAAAGCCTACCCCCTTTTTATATTGATGCTTTAGAAGTCAATAACACATGGATTATTACTGATCTCCCACCTGGAAAGGATGCTATTGATTGTAGATATGCGTTCAAAACTAAATACAAATCTGACGGCACGGTAGAAAGAAAGAAAGCTTGCCTAGTAGCCAAGGGATTCACCCAACAAGAAGGGGTGGACTATCATGAAACATTCTCCCCAGTTGCTAAAATGGTTACTGTTAGGACTCTCCTAGCTCTAGCTGCCATTAAAGGATTGCACCTCCAACAATTCGACGTCAACAATGCTTTCCTTCATGGAGAGCTTATTGAGCAAATCTATATGAAGAGGCCCCCTGGATACAATAAAGGCAATTCTGGTTAAGTTTGCAAACTGCTTCGCAGCCTTTATGGCCTTAAACAGGCCTCCAGGCAATTGTATTCTAAATTCTCCACTTCCCTTATTTCTTTTGGCTTCATTCAGTCCAAATCAGATTACAGTTTGTTCACCTGGCCTGATGGAAAACATTTCACTACCCTACTAGTATATGTTGACGACATTATTGTGGCTAGCAACTCTCTTGATTCAATCGATGTTATCAAAAGATTTTTGAACCAACATTTCCAAAACAAAGATCTTGGGCATTTACATTATTTTCACGGCATTGAGGTAGCGAGGTCTCCCCTTGGTATTCACCTTTGCCAACATAAATACGCTTTAGACATTCAACCTGCTAAAATCCCTATAGAACAAAATCATAAACTCTGTAAAGACTCTGGCCTTCCTTTACCTGATCCAAGTGTTTTTCGAAGACTTATTGGTCGTCTCTTGTACCCTACTATAACCAGACCAGACATTAGTTATAGTGTTCAAACTCTTAGTCAGTTCATGGCTCATCCTTCCACTACTCACCTTACTGCTGCAAACAAAATTCTCAAGTATCTTAAATGTGCTCCTGGACAAGGAATTATTCTCCCTTCATCATCTTCCATTAGCCTCAAAGGGTTTTGTGATTTAGATTGGGCCTCTTGTCCTGACACCAGATGGTCTATCACTGGCTTTTGCATCTTCTTAAGAGATTATCTCATCTCTTGGAATTCCAAGAAGCAAAGTGTTGTCTCCCGTTCCTCAGTTGAAGCAGAATATCGTGCTATGTCCAACACTTGTTTAGAATTCATTTGGTTAAGACAACTACTTGCTGACTTGATTGTTGATCATCCATATCCTGCCATCCTCTACTGCGATAATCAGGCTGCATTGCATATAGCTGCCAACCTTGGATTTCACGAACGTACAAAATATTGAAGTCGATTGCCACTTGATTCGTGACAAAATTCAGGAATGAAGCATTAAAACTGCCCATGTCTCCACACATTCTCAGCTAGCTGATATTTTTACCAAGTCTCTGCCATTTCACATCTTCTCAGCTCATCTCTCCAAGATGGGAATAATTAACATATATTCTCCATCTTGCGGGGGGGTATTGGATGACACCAACAGCACAATCAGCAAACCACCAGCACAGTCAGTAAACAAGCAGGAATCTGACTTGGCATAGGCATTTCTGTAATTGCTCAGCTAAAGTTTTTTTATTTCTACTGAAGGTTCTAGAATTCGTTATTCTTGTTTTGTCACCTGTATATTCTTTATCTTTCACGTGTAGCATTTCTTTTCCCTTCTATATATATAGATGTAGTCTCCTGTAAATATTAACCTGAAGAAAGTAAAATCAGAATATAGTAGCTGTATTTTTTTCCTCTCTTTTCTGGCTTTGTTTGATTTCTTTCAGGAGTCTCCATTCAGGGAAAATGTTAAAGGAACGTTCTGCCCTCATAACGGGACAAGATATTCATGCCCATGAGGGAGCAATATTGACGATGAAATCCAATCTTGATGGGCAGTATCTAGCTAGTGCTGGGAAGATGGGTCTGTGTGCATCGGCAAGTTGTAGAAGTAGAGAGGTCAGATAATGTTGACATTCCAGGTGCAGATCCATCTTGCATGTAATTTACAGTAAATCATCGTGCTGATTTGCCACCTCTCATGGTAGAGAAAGATAAGGCTAGCAAATTCACAAGTCTTAGAAAAGCACCAAATTCTTCGTGTATTGTATTTCCTTCTAAGGTTTTCCAAATTTTGGAGAAGTCGTTGCATGTGTTCCAAGGACACAATGGGTTATGGAGAGATCTTGGATCTTTCATTGTCAATTAATAATGTACGTTTAGGTAAATTAAGAGTTTTTAGCTTGTTTTCCTCCAGTTTCTACTTTCATCATCAGTTGAAAAAAGGGTTCGTATGTGGCAAGTTGGAATCGATCAGTGTCTCAAGGTCTTCTTGCGTAGTAATTATGGAATATACCTGACTGTATAATTCTGAATTTTACTAGATAGAAAAATGGTTGATTTGGGGAAATACTTGAAAGTGAAACTGAACTTCGATCAGAGTTACTTATTTCTTTTTCTAAAAATAAATTCGATGTATTGCAGTAACCTGCGTTCAATTTAACACTGTAAATGAAGATTACTTCATCAGTGGTTCAATAGATGGGAAGGTTCGCATTTGGATGATCAGTGGTTGTCAAGTCGTTAGCTGGACTGAAGTAAAGGACATAATCACTACAGTTTCTTATCGCCCCGATGGGCAGGTCTGTTGATTCTGCCATTTTAATTTCTTTTTTTATAAAAAATGTGGCTTCAAGGATTAATCTGACATACTAATTCTACAATTTTTAGATTGTTATTTAGGGTGGTATTATTGGCACAATTACAAGCACCTGTCAACTTTTTCACTGTATATATATCAGGTACATTTTATTGTAGAACCCAAGACCTCCATTATATGGGAGATTTAAATTGAATCCTAGTACCACTTGTCCAATTGGTACTAGAATTCAACTTAAATCTCTCATATGATGGAGGTCTTGAGTTCGAATCCTAGGGGACACGTCAGAAAGCCGTAAGGGGATAAGTGGGCAGAAGCCCACCCCAAAGCGAACAGTACGTAAGATAACGGCTCTGGTGAGCGACCGAGTCGTTAAAAAAAACACGTTTTTTTTGTAACGACTCCGGCCCGAGGTCGGGTCGTTACAAGTCCTGTACTTCAAAATGCCTCTCCCAGTAGGCATTCCAATAAGCTTTTGGTAGGAAAAGTTTAAATGTCTAAAAGGGTCTGATTGAATCTAATAGTGACTTCCAATTCGACTTATCAAAGTTGAATAACTTCCTCGTCATCGCCATCCTTCTGTTTAATAACTGAGCCCCATTTAGATCCTTATATTCTTTACGTTTTATTCTATACAAGCATTGAGGATTTGCATGGGCGTTGATAAAGCTCAGTCATGTGTGTCTATATGAACTACTGTTACACAGTTATGTACCACATAAATGAAATTTACGCGTAGGGCTTAATTTGGTTAAGTGCTTGTCTATCTTGTATGAGGTACTAAGTTGCAACTGGAAGTTCTGTCTCTTAGGATTTCCAAAGAAGGGGAACCAGATTTCAGCTTCATTCAGTTTCTTAGAAATCATGAACAGAAACTAAAAATTTATAGAGAAAAATAGCTAACAAACTAACTACATAACAATAGAAGAAGGATCTAGATGAAGCTGGAACGTGTTGGTGAGCTGCTAGGAACGTGAACTAATGAGATGGAGAAGATCATGTGCTGGCCGTGTGTTCTGTTGAGATGGAATATTCCAACACAGTTCAGATGGAAAAATCAGAAAGTTCCTTCGAGTGTTTCTCCTCTGATGTGTCTGTTGCAATACCTTGGTCTGGCATGAGAATTTGGAACTCCGAGAACAAGTTTAATTCAAGTAAAATCCACAATAATTCGATTGATTTATTGCATTCTTCCTTCGACCAAGAGGTTTTATCCAAATAGAACCCTAGGGGATCTCCAACTCGACAAGAGCAAAAGCTTCACGTGTCTATTTCTGAGGTGACGAAATCTCAATACAAATTTCTCAACATTTCTCAAGTTATGAGAGTTCATTGAGCTAGCATATGTGGGGTGTAGTTATTGTTACTGCAGGCTACGATGGACATGTTGGGAATTTACTTAACATGCACAATGGAAAATAAATCATATTTCAATTCCCACCAATGATTTGTTTTGTGCTTATATAGAAACTGTAATAGAAAATATACATTTTGTAGATTCCGCAAACTATTTTGCTAATCTTGGAACAAAACAATCACGATTTGCAATTCACAACTGTCCAATTGTCTAGGCTCCAATGAAAATTCACACAGTGAACAAGAACTTCACACAGTGAACAAGAACGAGGGAACTAGGATTTTCTCTTTTCTTGTATTAGCAAGAATATGAATTGTGTCATTTTCAAACCCTAGTAGCCTATTAATAGAAGTCCAAGTAGGCTCAGTCCATCTCTTAAACTTAACCCGATTCGATATTTAATTAATCGAATTAATTAATTTGGGCGTATTAACAAACAACTCAATTAATTAATTCACCAACACTTGTTAATTAATTAATTGGTGAATCTCAATCTTCTGGTTCTCCTTTTGTGTGTGACCCATCAGGTTCCCGATATGACGTTTAAAGACGTGAATTATTATTTTGATCTAATCAAAATCGATAAATTAAAATACCCATTTTTATTTATCATCAATTCGCATTCTTCATTCCAGATTGACATCTAACAATGTGTCAGGCAATACATATGACGAAAAATGTCATGTAGTATGACAAAACCAAACTAGTTCGTTTACCTTGAAACTATAATAATTTTGTCAATATGATTCGATCAATTACAAAATATGGATATGTGTCAATCTTAATTATCAATCATATCTTTATCTCATTATTAAGTCAATGTAAGTCGAAAACTCATTTTCGACTTATGAGTACACCTTGGCCAATGATTTCATTATTAACTTAATTGATTAAAATGTAGATCATAAATTTTACTATCTAATAGTAACGAATCATCTATTGATCATTCACAACTTTCATATGATTCTTGACATATCCAAACGATGTTGTATTATCGACACTTGAAAGAACAATATCCAATATCACCAAAGTATGACTGTCCTCATATAAGGCACTATGACGATCTCAAGTCAAAAGACCAATTTCATTACCGAACGTTAGAGATTAACCACTAACACTCAGATAGTTATCCATGTGAAATCTCTCCAACGGGTCTCTAGTGTTTTGTTTTATAACAAAACATCTACGTATTCATTTAAGTGTCACCACACTTTAGCTTGCGAGATCAGCTACTTCACAAGTAAGAAATGCTACACGTAATGGTCTATCCTTAATAACGATATCCGTATCTCGTTATTACTTACAACCACAGATGATTTAAGATTCAGCTATACGTAATTTATATCTCACAATCATAACTATTTGTGATTAACAAATTACCAATACTTGAATCTACAGATTCTATTACTTAATTTATTAAAACATTAATTCAATTAAATAATAGATCTGGTCATAAATATGCATCAATTATATATATTAAAAGTGTTTATGTCCAAAGTTAATTAGACTTAGAACATAACACTTACAGGATAGATCAAATCATATCACAATTGTGGGTTACCAATACCCCTTTGAAACAAGGCCAACAAGGTATATGCTACAAATAAATTGCATCCTAGGGCGGCACATAAAGATAGTTTTGGCAGTATTTTGTCTGGTGGCAGGGTCAGACGCCAATTGGACCCTCCACTGATATCTCTATCCATTAGGGTCTTGAAATTATGATCCAGTATAATGGATGTTCCCTTCAAATTTTGCCCATGAATAACGGTTTCATGGGCAATGACAGTTGTCGAGGGTTCAGTAAGCAAACTGTAATCAATAAATATGCAGTTTGGTTAGTAGGCTTAATTTATTATTATCTAATTTGTTACTTATTGAAGTTGTTGTTGCTCCTAAACGAGTTTGTCAAAACAAAAAAATACAAAACGTTCGCAGAAAAATAAATTGCAGAATTAAAAGATTCAACATAAAGGAATTTTCACCCACTAAAGGGCCTGGATGTTCACGTGCTTTAAACGCTGCTCATGCTTTGAGCATCTACAAGTAGATAGAGCTCAACGTGTTTAGCTCTATCATGATATACAAGATTCTTACTGAGGTGAATAGCACTTTGGTTGTCAATATACACCTTAACAACTTTATTTATGGAACCGAATTCCTTTAACAACCCCCATTAACCAAAGTTCATCCTTAACAGTATCATAGGCAGCAATGTACTATGCCTCTCTTGAAGGTAGAACTACTGATTTTGTATTTATGATTTCCAACTAATGCATCAATCACACATTATAAAAATATAAGAAGAAGTGGATCTCCTTTAATCTAGATGAAATGCAAAATCAAAATCTGTGTAGCCCGTTAGATTATACCTTTTAAACTTTAATCCTAAATCAGATGAACCTTTTAAATAACTCAACATCCATTTTATGGGTTTGCCATAAATCTACTCAAAATACTTATACCATAAACCAAGTCAGGTCTGGTGCATACTATAAGATATATAGCGCATGTTTGACAGTCATTATAGCCTGCTTATAATGAAAAATTCAACCGTTATATACAGCAAATGGGCCCTGCCGTAGCAACTATTTTTTACTGCACCTGCCTAGTCAATTAAATATTTAGGTGAAAAGTCCTTGGTTCCCCTTAAATTTTGCATTCAATATTCTTAATAGGGCATTTTTTACATTTCAAGTTATAATGAAAGATGGTTGCTAGTTTTTGTCAATTTTTTGCCAATTTCTTTCTAGATGTGGGGCCCATTGACTGTATATAACGATCAATTTTTTCATTGTAATCAGGTAAGAATCACTGTCAAACAGGCTCATAATAGAACTAAGAGTATTATCATAAGGTATTTTATTCATTCTTTTAAATTCTTCATCAGCTTTAGGTAATTGTTCATTTAACAGTTTAAGTGATTGGCAATATGCAGCGAAATAGGTTTGCATTCAAGTATATAAATTTTTTTCAAGTACTTTATTCACACAAGAACATTGATTTAGGTAGAGTGTACAATTGTTTCTATCTCTTTTAATTTCCATACCTAAAATTCTTTTAGTTTGACCTAGATTTTTCATTTCAAATTCATATTTTAATTTTGATTTAAGTAAATCTATCTTAGATTCGTCATGGAAAACAAGAAGCATATCATTAACATAAAGTAACAAGTAGATAGATTCAGGTTCAT